GGCATACACAGCTGGTTGCAAACAACAACAAGAACAACACCTTTGGGATTTCACACTCCTACTCTGGCACATGTTTGGAGGGAGTGAAGACGTGTCCCTTCTCGCTCCTTTCTCTGTGTGTTTTCCAAGAGGATTGGGGTTCTTGTACGTGGGACTCTCTGCCTTTTGGTCTAGTCCCCTTGTGTATGCAGATCTCGTTACTTGCCCCCTCTGTTTTCCTTCTTTGTTATTCTGAGGCTTACTACAGGTCCCCCCTCCTCTCCTCCCTTGTCTGCAGTGTGGTTGATGCTTTCAGGATTGCAATGTTAGACTTTGCTCTTGTTGTGAAGGCCAGTTGGATCAACACAGCTGTCATAAAATGATGTTTTTGAACTTGTTGGGTTATAGATACACATTTTCATAGGGGGACAGTTTGGGTATTGAGCTGTGAAAGCTTGCAGGTGGCAAGATGAGGATGCCGTTGCATTTCAATCAGATGCTATAATATTTTTTTAAAGTCAGATTAGGTTACACAGACTTGAAAACAAGTTTTCATAAAACCAATTGGCTTGATTCCCAAGTCAATGTAATTAGGGTTGGGGTGTTAATTTTTGTTTGATTTTATGAGTGATGAACTTCTGGGGGTGAGCTTTAAAGTTATAGTAAATTGATATTTGTCCAGGCCTATGTACTTGACAGTGAACTTTGCTTTAATGACTGGATTGTTCAGTTATGGTTGTTGTAGGGATGAAACTGTTTATTGAAAGTTAAAGACCTCTACATATGAAACATAAAACACAGGTTGAGGTCATTTTTAGCTCAGTAATAAACCTATACATTTTTCTCCTGACTTGAAATTAGTACACTTGATCAAGTTAATCACAGCAAGATATTATTACAATATTCAGGGAGAAAAGGCTGTTCATCTCCGCTGAAATAATAGAACTCCATAATAAAAAATAATGTTCTTTAAAGAGTAAAGGGGAGGAACTAGAGGGGAAAAAGCATTAACAAACAACTTTCAGACTATATAAGATGCTAAGAATAGCATAGACACCGGTTGGCATTGACACATGGTACCTAAACACTCAACATGATTTACTTAAAAACACCTTGTACTGAGTGATTTTAAGTTTGAAGCTTTATTGAAGCTAATCTACTTTGATGTCAGATATGTTTGCAGTAGGGATGTGAGAATTTGAGGGGCTCTGTTTTCATAGAAGTGCTTACTTGCATTTTATTTTATCATTTTCTTTGGCAACACTTGGATATCTGGTTTCAATTTGTGACAATTCCCATTTTTTTATACTATGCTTATCTAAGGCTGTTTAATTTTATAGTACAGTTAATAAATACTTCAGTAACTATTCCAATGAAAAGTAAAATGAAACGGTATTGAACATTTTATTTTAATATAGTGGTATCTGAGAAGGGGGGCAGGACTGGAGGTCAACATTATTAAACATCTTTTGTGATCTAGCTTTAAATGTGGGCACCTTGATAGATTTTAACTTTGACACTGCAACATTACATTGAATATAACCTAGTTTTTGAAATAGTGTTTTGAAATAGCTTTTAAAGCAATGAGTTATCTGCTTTGTAAAAATAAAATATACTGACAGTCAGTGAGAGTTCTGAGTAAGAGACTACCACTTTATATACACCATAAATTTATATATACTGTACATTCTAAGAACTTGCTCATCCACAACACAGGTTTTTTGCTGTAAGTTTTCTGGTACCTGCTAATTACTACTTTATCTTTCGGATTTTAAAATTAGCAGCACTTGAATTTAAAAAACTAGCAGAATTAGTTTGTGTTGTTTCTCTTTAATTCTGTTTGAACAATTCGATGCTCAGTTTTTGAGTTCTGTTGTACTCAACAGTCTCCAAAAATAAAAGTGGTACAAATAACGCTTTTATGAAACTGACCATTTTTTTCTGTTCTGCAGCTTGCACTTTTGATCTTTGTGATTAGTGTAGTAACTTTTATGAATTAACTGGTTGATGGAGTGTTTATGGGGATATAAGTGGGTTATGCTGCCAGTGATATTTGGATTGATTAGTTAAGAGGAGTTACTTTTCCAGGAAAAGGGGGTCAGTTCCATTTTACTGCCTGTATGCTGTAATCTGTAAAGGCCTGCTTGCCTTGGAAGCATCCTTAAAGTTGCAAACCTGTGTTTGTTTACCTTGGAGTGAGCTCCATTGAATCCAGTGGGTTTTATTTCTGAGTAAAAATGTACAAGTTACAGGAAAGGAACTTATTTGGATTACTTTCAGATAAAACTTTATTATTGATTGAAGTGTTTGTATTCATATATGTTCATGAGTCTGCAGTATAAACACAAATGTAAATTATTAGTACAGGGATTATGCAATACAGCTTTTCAGGCTGTATTAGGAAGATGATTAGAGTGCAGTTTTAAGATATTTATAGCTAACATGTATTCTTTCAAGCTTGATATTGACACCTTTAAGATTTCTAGTGGTTTGGTACAGAATAAATGTTACAAACACTTAACAAGTACATGTTTCCCATAGATTTTGAAGTTTTGCAGTGTTTAACAAACTACTTGCGCCCTGATTCAATCAGAGGTATTGGCTTTAATTGGTGAGATTTGGACATATGCTTGTTTCTCCTGTTGCAGTCAGTGTAACTTGAACATGATTAACTCTGAGTACCACCTTGAGTCCCTCTCTTGGGAGAAAAAGGTGGGATATAAATATTGTAATTGATAGGACGAATTGGCCTTTGCATATATTAAATGTGTTGGTAATATAGGGGAAAAGTTTTTATGTTTTGGGCCATTTGGCTTTTATAATTATGCTAGTACTTGGTCATGTATTTTAGTGCAGCAGAGTTGTGCTGCTGCATTGTTTCAATTTAATATGATGATAGGAGCTCTGATAGTTACTTAGCAGGGTTGTACTTTGTACTAGGGAATTTAAACAGGGATGAGTTGCTTCATTATTTCAGGGGTAGTTTTACTG